TAAGAGAAGGAAACTGCTTCATCAGCAAGACCAATAACCATACCTTGCTTGATAGCATTTCATAAAAAATGACTTAAATAGAAGAATTCAAAAAAGAAAGCATGCTGACATCCAGAGTCTGTATTCAGAAATATCTGACGGCTGGAGACACACCAAAAAGAAACAAGTTGAACATGTTCAGCACTTGATACTTAGCTGTAGAGCTCCAAGTACAGCAGGTCGTCTTCTCAACTGAAAGCTCATACCTAATTCAGCTGTTCCAGAAGAGTCACAAGACACCCACACAAGATTTCCCACAGAGGAGTGTTTTCTAGAAGGAAACCTACAACATACCTTCAGTTCTGTTTCTTGCCTCTAAGACAATGATCAAAACCTTTCAACACAAGCATGCCTACTACTTTCCCCTCCTCAAAATCTGTCTGCTAGTCTTGCATGTTTCCAGCCAACACCATCCTTAAGTAATTTTTCCTCATATGAGATTTATACTTAAATGTGTGCAAGCAGGAAGCATTCAGAAATCAGTCACAGGTCTTTCAAGTCTTTTTCATCAGTCTTGACTTAATCACATAAAAGATTCTCCAGCCCTGGCTGGGAGTTTTCTGACCTGCCTCAGCTGTTACCAGAATGATAGTGCTCCCATCTCCACATGAAGGCAGCTGCTGCTGGAACCTCCATCACCATATAAACTAGGAAATAACCTCAGATCACTTATAGTTTCTGAAAAAGCTCCGAGCTCCACATCCATTTCTAATGCAGATTTTGTGCACATTTTTCACTCTTCCTTCCTCATCATAGTCATTAACTATCTTTATAAAAGTGAGGAAAACACAGTTGGGGGCAGGCTGTGCCTAGATTCTCTTGCCTCCACTCTATGCTCACTTGTGTAGAGCATGTTTACAATGTTGAAGCACAGTCATTCCTCTTCTGTTTGGCCAATCTCATAGCCACACTCTTCCAGTTAAAGCAGTACTTGAGTTTTAATAAACACTTTTACAAAGAAATTCTAATAAAGTCCTGGAAGAAGGGTGCTATTACACCAAAATTAGTGCAGAATTTCTCAGCCAAAGCTTTAAAACCAAAATTGTCTACCAGATGTCATTAGTGACATTCTCTAGGAGAAGCCAAGCTCAAGTGGTCATCTGTGACTTTTACCATCTCTGCCCTCCAGAGAGTTGCATGTTCATAGATGCTAATGTGACTGACAGTGATAGCCAACATGATCATAAAGCAGCAAACACTACTCAGTTGCTGGTCTTATTAGATCAGCTCAAAAGTTTTTATGATACAGAAAGTCCTTAAAGTGTTCTTTCAGTGATAGCTGTCCAAGTTTCATCAATATGTTACATTTACTGCCTACACTATGTTGTGGTCCATGCAGTATACTCACTAAAACAGCATGCACATCAAGTAGGAATCTCTAGTGTATTGAAACAGACTTTAAAAGCACTTCCCTATCATTAAGATTCCTTTGTTTTGTATCTACCACAATGACTTATTCCTATCTCCTATTTATTTTGCCAACTATTTATGTCCTTTGATCAAGGGCATTACCCTGGTTCTAACACTTTCAGAATTGACCCAAGAAGAAAGATTTATGATGACTCCATATGTAAAGATAAAAAAAAAAATCCACCTGAGAGTAATGCCTAAGGGCAGCTAAGGTTTAGAGGTTTTGCTCTTGTATGAACCTGCATGCAATCTGTTCAGCTTCTTTCAGAATTCTTCATGCTGCAACCAAGATAATTTGACAGTGACTGATCAGTCTTACTCCCAAGGTTTTTCATCACCATTATTCAAGAAGTTACAACTTGTGTCTAAAAACCAAAGTGACTGAGTATACAAGTCTAGACACAACAGTACTCTTCTTCCCCCTTCACTATTTCACACCCCCTCCCCTTTGATCCTCCTGCAGGAATTTACATTACTTTGTACTTTCCAACAGGAAAGCTATTTTCACCAGAAAAATAGCACAGGCCATGTAACTCTGTCGAATAGAGCATGACAGTGTTATCTAATCACCCCCCCCCGCCCTCGGTTAGCACAAGAAATTGAAGTCACTCAGGAAACTGCTGCTTTGCAATACACAGCACAACATTCAGCAGTTTGGTTACAATCACACCAGAAACATTATAAACTTTAGCTGATGACTGAACTAGATGGTTAGTTCTTATCATTGGTTTACCTACAGAACCTTAGAGTGCAGCGCCCAGCTCTTTGCAGAAAGCTTTTCATGATGAACTGTTAAGTACAAACTTTAATCTAATGAAAAATAACGTCTTACTATGCTTGAGGGTTAGGCTTTAATTCAGAAGCCTTTTTAAATGCATGAGAATCAATTCAGAATGCCAGCACCATATTGCTTGCAGGGAAGTCACATGTAACATTACTTACCATAAGATTTAGATCTCTTCAAGAGATCTGAAGCTGTTTGTCCACACACACCAGCAGACAAAATAATCTACATGAGCTGTTGAAAGCCAGAAGACAGTTGGGTTGATGAGTTAAAAGGGAATGACTATCACATGCTCAGATACTTTGTTACACATTTAATAAAACGCTTTAGGAAATAGTGCTATGACTATAGAGAAGCCATCTTCAACCTGGTTCTGTAATAATATCTATATAAACTTTAACATCCACAGGCATTTAGAAATATTCATGAGTATAGACATGGAAAGCTGTAGAACGCATTCCCAGGTCAAGGACTTCAGCAGTTTTAAGACCATGAAACAACCCTTATGGATAGTGAAATCCCTTTTATTTTAATGATTAATGCTTAACTGAGATGTCAAGTTCTATAGGAGTCTGAACTGTTACTTTTACACTGGCTAAGCACAGCACAATCAAACGACACTAAGACTAGGATTACTTCTCTTCTTGGTCTTGTTTTCTGATGGGGGAAGGACACCCAGCCCCTTGGAAACAGAACAGCCAAAACTACCAGATTAGACACAAGAGTTTGGAGTGCAAATTGCAAAACAGCTGTATTTTCCTTTTTCATTTTTGCTGGAGAAAGGTTAGTCAGGAGCTTCATACAAAACTATGCATCACATTCTAATACAGGAAAATTTTTGCTCATTTAGTTTAGTAGGGCATCATTTGCAATAAGTCTGGAAGTGTTATGAACAGTATATTGACATTTCAGTGACAAGAAAAATTTTATTCTTCAATCTATCAGCAATATGAGCACAAGCCTCCAGGGATTTATCAGCAGCTCTTAACTCAGCCTTCACCTAGCAGTGTCCAAGATACATTAAGTGAAAAATACCGTCTTCTGGATCTTGAAATTAATGTATGGGTGTATTGACAGGACTTCCCATGATGTAAATAGGTTCTGTCCAAACTTTGTTACAAGTTACAGCTAAGTTTCTGCCTAGCCTGTTGAAACAGATTGCTTTGGCAAAACACACAGCCTACCCCAGTCTCAGAAACCAACGGCTGAGGAGAAGTTAAACAAAAGTGTGGCAGCCTGCCAAAACCCAGGATCCTGATATAGTCTCCTCTCTAATCTTTGGAACCCCAGACTTGCTAAAATACATCCAGAGCGTTGTAGCAGCTTGCACCAATACTGCAAATTGATTTAAAGAAAGTTAAAACAGATACGTAAAAGGAACACATCAGAAGAGAAAGCTTGCCAACATTTTACTTGCTCTCCAAAACAGCAATTAGAAAATATTTTAGTTTGCCCTACAGGGCAGCAGCAGAAAGATCTATGGTATGTTTCAGCATATGGCAGTAGGAAGCAGGCTTTTTAGTTTGAGGAATCATATTAGAAGTGTTTTAAGATAACCTTTAGAGCAGAAGGATCAGAAGCTGATGTACAGCTGGTCTGTCACAGGGTTACAGCAGCCACATGTTACACTTCCTCTTTTCTGAGCTTCCACTTGGTAAAACAGAGTTCATGGTAACTACCAGTTGTTACCCTAGTATCTTCCAGTACTGTGAGTTTAAACACATGCATTTGAAAGAAAGTTTACTTTTGCGTATCTGAGGAGGTGTTCTTAACGTGGTGGAGAGGGATGGAGAGAGCTGCAGGTTAATACCTGGGCTGCACACAAAACTAGAAATGCAATACCAAGTTGAGATGATTAAGGACTTGAGGACAGAGACTTCTTACAAGACCAAAGCAAACCAGAATTTGTTCTGTGGCATTTAGCACCACAGCATAAGCAAAATTAACTATAATATGTATACAGCTAGAGTCTTTAGGACAGAGGTTTTAAAGAACAGTTTTAAACTGTATATAGGAAAGGAATGACATGTAGTTTGGACAAGCAAACAGGGCTTTTCTCCTTCTGTATGTTCAAAGTACCTTTTTGATACAAAACCCCATGATTTGAATGCAGAACTAAGCATAACACAAGTCCCATTCCCTCACTGCACGTTGCAGGGACCCAAGTTACTTTCAATTTAAGTAAGTGACTCCAGAGATACAAAGTTTGAGCATGCTTCCTTTGGGAACCACGACGGAACCATTTTAGCTATTTGAGTTACCTTTAACCTGTAAGGTGTGCTTACTAAACATAACCCGCTTGGAAAAGATATTTATTTCCTCTAGAAGCGTTACAGAGCCATAACCACAAATGAATTTAACCGTAGTCATAACCAAGGCCACAAACACCTGGGCAAGCGGGTCAGGAGGAGCAATACGAGCAGGAACACTCTGGGAGCCCTGGAGCCAGCAAGCAGAGCAAAGCAGCTTTTTGAGGACTGCTGTAAAAGCCAATCCAAAAGCCCCACAACATCAGCTAACAGGAGCACACACAGCCTATAAAAAGTCAAAAACTTCAGTCCCACATCAAGACCTCCCTCTACCTATGCCTCAAACGCGGACAAGGGGGGTTGCAGGTAATAGGGGGAAGGAGAAAAACAGGGAGCCAGGCTTCACAGTCAAAATACACTTTCCTCCGCAGAGGCCGAGCCCCGGGACCCCAGGCAGCCGGCTTCACAGGCCTCTGCTCCCTCGGGGCTCTCTCTGCAAAGAGACGCCCGGCCCGTACCTGCTATGTCCCAGAGCTGCAGCCGCACCAGGGTCTTGCTGTCCCAGTTAATGACTTTGAGCGCGAAATCCACCCCGATGGTGGCCCGGTAGTGCTGGGAGAAGAGCTGGTGCACGTACCGCTTGATAATGCTGGTTTTACCCACGCCCAGCTCCCCGATCACCAGCACTTTGAAGAGATGCTCCCGGCACTCCGGCACGCCGGAGCCCGCTCCTTCCCCGCCGGCCATCCTCGGC